TTTATTTGACACTTCAAGAATCTATCGACATGACTAAGTTAAGAACATTGTTTCGATACCATGCTAGGAATCTCGAACGTCTACATGACTTTATATTTTGTTTTCCTAAAAGACCTCATATAAACCGCGACAATTTTAAGCATTGAGTTTATCTATTCACAGCAAAAGTTAATAACCTTTTGAGTGGACAGAATTTCAAAGAAGCATGAAATGACATTATTTGAATGTTTCTTTTTTGAGTCAGACGAAAGAAAAGACGTCTAAGGATTGATACTCATCAAGATCAAGCTGTGGGCATGGCGTTGTCTTCCCACCAAACATCATAGACATTTAAACTCCAAGTTGATATCTACTTTTGATTTAAACTCCAAGATGATTGAATTCCAAACCCAAAAAGAACCATAATTTCATTCCAAGTTCTTCAGAAAACACATCTCTTCCACCTCTCTTCCTTGGTTGTTTCTGAGCTTCATAAACTTCTTCTTAGCTTAATGACGATTGTCTTACTCAGTAATGACGTTATTAAATGAGGTTTTAATTAGAAGTTCATCCAATTAAAAACCCTAATCAATGAAAGTGGAGTTTCCCTAAGTTCATAATTTGTTAATGAAAAAGAAAAAAGAATTTGAATTTGGTAGCTGAAGGGTCGCTTTTGGATGTGGTTAATGTACTTTGAAATTGAATACTTCATCATCAACTTAAGTGGGATGGTGGGTGGGAAAGTTTGTCATTTTTAGGCTAAAATAATCAATCCATCTCATCTTCTTTAACAAAATTAACAAAAAATATTATAAACATTCAATTAATATTCATATATCATCTTTATTCTCTTTCAACTTTTTATCTAATTATTTTAATTTCGTGCATGGTTGCTTCCACTAAAAAAAAAGCTAGAGCTCGACCAACAAACGTGAGTATAGTTCGTATAGTTCAAGTAGTTGACACAATATCTACCACTCAAGAGTGAATAGATATGAAAATATTATTAACCAACACCAAAGACTACAGATTTAAGAATGAGAAATAGAATTAGGATTGAAGGTTAAATCTTAATTGATATCGGCAACCTTTAAATAGGATACCAAATATTAACTAATATCTAACGGACTAAATCTTGGGAATAAAATAAAATATACTACTATTTAAATTTAACGAATATCTAACCTATATTCACTAACTAATATATTGTTCAAATATTAAATGATTACGAATATCATATATTTCATAACTAATTCAAAATAAAAATAAGTTGTACTAAATTCTGACAGTAGTCAGATATTAACGTTGCTTGTTAAGAATGGAGAAAAGAGGAGGACTATTATTGTTGTCTCTAGATGTTCTACTGGACGCATCTCTATCTCAGCTTCTTTCTAGGTTAATATTTACTCTCGAGAGAGATCATCCTATAACTTGATCGTGAAAAGCTAGAATAAATGCAAACTTTTCATAGGGTCGCTTTCCTCGTCCTTGTCCCTGCCTCTTATTTTTATCTTCATCCTTGCAAAATTCTCTATTTATTTATAAGACGATGATTCTCCACAAGAAGTGGGTTTTATATATATATATAAAATAGAAAATCAAATAATTGAAACCTTAAAAATTCAATCTTCTCAAGTAATAGAAGCAATAAATGCTTTCCTAAGCTACCTCTCCCCTAGACAAAACCCTAACTTACAATTGCAACATTCACCTTATCCATATCCTTAAACATTACATTATTAAAAACATCAAATGTTTTGAACAACAACAACAAAAAAAAAAAAAAAAAAAAAAAAAACCAAACAATCAAAACTCTTACGTGGTTGGTTTTGCTTAGTTTAATGACAGGATGGGACACCGTAGGAACATAGCAAGTGTTGTTCATGTTTATATACTTAATCAAGTCAAATGGTGTTTCTTTCTTTGTAGTGTCATCAAAGTAACTTGTTTTTATATGTTCTTTATGTCCTGTTTGGACACTTGGCCTATGAATATCATCGGTATTTTGTCCCAAATTATGTCAAGAAAATGACTGTTTGAATTCTAACTAAAACAAAATGTACTGAATGCTTTAAGTATAATCGATGGTACATATATTTTCTTTTTTTCTAAGTTTTATATTCTTCTTGTTTGTCACTGTTTCTTATGATGACTTGTAGGGTAAAGGGTCGATGTTCATATCCACCAACCTACGCCAAGAGACACAAGTCAAAAGCCAACATAAGTGGAAATCTATATCAACCACCCATATGCTTTTCGTGCCCTGTTATTGAGAGGTGACGTTAAAAAAAATATAGACACATGTGAATATTTCAAGAAAAAAAAAAAAAAAATCGGTTCTCGAGTTGAAAAATAGCGAATGGAAAGAACCTCAACTTAAAAAATCACTTTTTATAGCCACCATGGACTTTAGGTTTTTCCTTTTCACTTGAGATAATTCACGCGGTCTCACGCTATGTAATGCTCTATGCTTAGAGTTTAGACTTGGGTTTTGAAATTGAATTCGATACCGATGGTTTTGACATTTTCCTACATCTCTTACGATATGATATGATCATGTTACTTACTTGTCTTAAATTGATTTTAAGATTGAAAACTATCCTTATAAGCTGGCGTGGATTCTTTCAACATGTTTTTCTCCGTTGGTTTGTGGGGTTGTCTCCTCTTTTAGAAGTAATTCAAGATAAGTAGATAAATGTGGTCACGTTGCAAGGATGTATGAGAATGTTAAGGTTATCCTGAATTCTAAATTTTAGCATGAATCCTAAACATGAAACATTAAACACAACGTGATATCTCAAATAGGATCATAAAGGGTTTGAATGAAACTATTGTGAGATCTCACATTAGTTAGAGGGGGAAACGAAACATTTCTTGTAAGGATGTACATACCTCTCCCTAATAGACGTGTTTTAAAATTTGGAGGGAAAACCCTAAAGGAAAAGTCCAAAGAGGATAGCATCTACTATTACAAATGGTATTAGAGCAAAACACTCGATGGTGTGCTAGGGAGGATGTTGGTCCCCCAAGGGAAGTGGATTGTGAGATCTCACATTGATTGGGGAGGGGAACTAAACATCCCTTGTAAGTGTGTGGAAAACTTCTCTCTAATAGACGTGTTTTAAAACTATAAGGTTGACAGTGATACGTAACAGGCCAAAGCAGACAATATCTGCTATCGGTAGGCTTGAGTTAAATGGTATCAGAGTCAGACATCGAGCGGTGTGCCAGAGACGATGTTGGACCCAAGGGGGATGAATTGTGAGATCTCAAAATGGTTGAAGAGGGAAATGAAACATTTCTTATAAGAGTATGAAAACCTCTCCCTAGTAAACACATTTCAAAACTTCAAGGACAAACCCGAAAGGAAAGGAAAGCTCAAAGCTGACAATTGGTGGCTTGGACGGTTATAAACATATGAATTTAATCTCATAAATGGATAAAAAATTGAGCTAGTTTATATTTGAAAGTGTGGTTTATAAATCCTTTTTATATTCTTTGATAATAAATGCATCCTAAGGTCTAATCTCATAATTTAAGGATTCAATATATATGTTAAATCTTGCACGAAACTTAGCAATTTAAAGAATGATATGGTTTAGCTCTATCTAAAATTTATTCCCCCTACTATCATTCAATAGTACCGTAGCGCAACGACCTAAGGCAGAGCAGACTAGAACTCGAGAGACACAAGGGTGTCGAGAGGTTCCGCAGACGCCAACACCAAGCCTTTGAGGTGTCTGGGAGGCTGACCCTGAGGATGGCAATTCATCGAACAGGTTGTGTGCATTGGATTATTAGTGCAAATGGTAGCTAAGTTTTGGGCCCTCCAATGGCAAATGGCAGCACCATATTAATCTCGCTACTTCAAGAAAGGACACGTAAACGTAGATATGACGAAATGGGTGATGTATATGCCTATGAGATGGAGTAAAAGTTCACCAAGGGAAAAGCTTTTTCTTTTATTTAACAAAGTTAAATTAAAAAATAGTATTGATATTTTTACGAACTCTTGTTCGAGTGCTCTTCATTTTACGATTGGTTCTATAAGAAGGATGCTCGAGTTCAACAATCGTAATAACTCCTCATCACACACCTGGAAAGTTACGACTGTTTTAACCACTTACTATCGTTTCAATGTTGCTCATAAAGTTTTCTCGATCAAATAATTATTAAACTATGAAAATTAAATTAAAATAAATTTAGGTTACTAAATTGAACTAACTTATGGTGGGTGGTTAAGGAAGAAAAAATATACCAGCTTAAGCCCACCACTAATAGATATTGTTTGCTTTGACGTTTATGTATGTCATCAGCCTCACGGTTAAAACGTGTTTGCTAGGAAAAGATTTCTACACTCTTATAAAGAATGCTTCGTTCTCTTCTCCAATCGAGGGTCTAGCGTTCTTGCTGGCACACTGCCTGTTGTCAGGCTCTCATACAGTTTATAACAGTCCAAGCCCACTATTAGCAGATTTTGTACACTTTGGCCGGTTACATATCATCATCAGCTTCACAATTTTAAAATGTGTATGCGACAGAAAGGTTTTCACATCTTATAAAGAATACTTCGTTCCCCTCTTCAACAGTGGGGTCTAGCATTCTCACTGACACACCGCCCAGTGTGTAGCTTTGATACCATTTGAGTAACACCACAAGTCCACTATTAGTAGATATTGTCTGTCTTGACCCAAGTTCACTACTCGTAGATATTATCTGTATTGCCTCAAATCCACTACTAGTAGATATTGTCTGTTTTGGCCCAAGTTCACTTCTAGTAGATATTGTCTGTCTTGACCTATCTCATGATTTTAGAGTGCATCTACTAGGGGAGAAAGTTTCGCACCATATTTGGCTGCCCATCTCCATTTAGTGGAGCTAACCACACCAGAACACTGCCATTGCAGTTCCTCTGTCTTTTTCATGGCAAAAATGGTGGACCTCAAAATCTTCATCCTTCTAATTAATCTCCCATTTCATGCGTGTGTCTGTGTTTTGTAGTATATATTAAGCTGCTGCAACGTAAAGCCTTAGAACAAACACACACATAACACAGACAGCCTTTATAGAGCCTTTTGGGTGCTTCAAACAACGCACCAAAGCACCCTAAGCAGTCCATTGATTTTGCGTTGAAAATGGGCAGGCAACCTTGCTGCGACAAACTTGGCGTTAAAAAAGGGCCTTGGACCGCCGAGGAAGACAAGAAGCTCATCAACTTTATACTCACTAATGGGCAGTGCTGTTGGCGGGCTGTCCCTAAGCTTGCTGGCCTCCGCCGCTGCGGCAAAAGCTGCCGTCTTCGTTGGACCAATTACCTCCGCCCTGACCTTAAGCGAGGCCTTCTCACTGAAGCTGAAGAACAATTGGTGATTGATCTTCATGCTCGCCTTGGAAACAGGTTGGGTTCATGTTTGGATGAATTCAATCACAATTTTCAAAAAAGTTTTGATTTTTCTTGTACCCTTTTGCTCAATTTTGCTTCAAACCTCCTTCTCAACCACCTTTTCTTGAATTTCAAGTTGAAAACATAATTTATTTACACATTTTTCAAGTAATGTGTTGGAAAAAAAAACAAGCTTCAATCTTAAGCATTGATTTCGAGACAAATTATTGTTTATTTCTTCTGTCGTTTACCGTCCATTTTTGTTGAGGATTATTGAGAATGAGTCCCACGTTGGTTAATTTAGTGGAAAATCATGAGTTTATAAGTGAAAAGCAAAGCCACAGGAGTTTAGGCTCAAAGTGGCCAATATCGTATTATTGTGGAAAGTCGTGATTCCTAATAATTTTTGCTTCTCTCTTTCATTTTGGTCCAATCTTAGGCGTGATTGAAGTGAATTTGGAAGAGTTTGAAAGCAAAAATTTTATAAAAAAATTTACTTTTTTTAATTTTTTTTTATTTTTACAGATGGTCGAAGATAGCGGCCAGATTACCGGGAAGAACAGACAATGAAATAAAGAATCATTGGAACACTCACATAAAGAAGAAGTTGATTAAGATGGGAATCGATCCTGTTACGCACGAACCGATCCAAAAACAGCCAGAGGATCCAAAAGGCCAGACAGAAAATTCCACCGGAAACCACCATTGCACGGCGGAGAACGACAGCGGCTTGGAGAACAGCAGCTCGATCACCACGGACAGCGGTTTCTGGATTGATGAGGAAACACTTTGGAACAATAGCCCACCAACGAGTGCAAAAGAAGGCAAGTTTGTGTGGGAAGAGAGCTGTTCATGGCTTCTTGATTGTGAGGATTTTGGTATCCATGATTTTGGGTTTGACAATTTTAATGATTTTGAATTCATGAACACAACAGAAATGGAAGGAAAAAACTAGAAAATGTAATTAATATGCACATGTTACAAAGTAGCATGGACATGAACTTCGGGGGATAAAAAAAGATGTCTTTATTTGTTCTTAGGGTAATTTATTAAAGTGACAGAAAAACATGAGACATTAACATGTTATAATGTTTTTGTTTTGGTTTATGTAAAGTGTCTAGAGAGGAGAGCATGCATGTTGTTATTTATGTATATTTGTCTGTGTATTTATTCTTGTAACAATAAAGTGAGAGAAACAGAAGGGATAAGGCTAATCTTCCCACTCTTATTGTAATTTGTTTTTTTTATTACAATTTGTGTTGTGTTATCCATGTTACCTTTTTGTTTATCTTTCTTGCTAGCACTTTAATTAAAAACATATTCTTTTTAATACAGTAACGGTCGTATGATTATATACACGTAACTAAATCATGTTCAAATTAAAAGTGTTCGTGGGTTGGATCGAATTGGATTGAATTATACTTAATCAAACTCTTCGAATTATAAATTTAACTCGAACAACTTTTAATAAATAATCAACCCAACTTATATTAGGATTGTCTATTAATTTGTAAAGTTTCTATTTATTTATTTATTTTCAAAGATTTGATTTAAATTTGTAATTCATTATATATTTTAAAAAATTATCTTCCACGCTGTTAAAAATTATTTTGTAAGATTTGGTAGAGAATAAATAATAAAAAATTAATTATAAAATAAAATAAATATATATAATTGAGTTCGTTAGTTATATTCAAAATTTTGTTATGTTAATTCATAAAATATCTATTTATTAAAATTATTTTTCAAAAAAAAATTTGTTAGAGCGGTGGGAGAATAAATAATAAAAAATAGTAATAAAATAAAATAAAATAAATATACTGTACGTATAACTGTATTATAAGCTAATTTTTTTTAATCAACAGTAAATTTGAATTAATTTGTTATCAGGAGAATCTACTCACTAATTCGGTCCATAAAATTTTCAATTATTTGAACTAAATTCAACCCAAATACATTCATAATTCAATTTCAAGTGTACGGGTTGAATTGAGTCGATCAAGTTTATAGGCTATCGGATCTTTTGAACACCTCTAGTTCAAATCATTCGAAGACTTAAAAAAAAGATACCTTTAAACCATAATTAAGTTATCCGTGTAAGAAATGATTGAGACGGTAAAAAGTTTATTTTATTTATTTATGGATTTCAATTATGTTTTAAACTTTAAAATTTGTTTCAAAAAGATAAAACTCAATACAACCTGTGTGCTTCTGAAACCAGAGAGCAACGAGGGGGCAGAAGGGGTTTACTTTCTCAATTTATTAATTTCTTCCAATATTATTCTATATTTTTTTTATATATAATTTTCATAAAATCCTACCTAAAAAGGACCCATAATTAAACTTAATTCCTATGAAAAAGTATGACTAAACAAAACACACAAAAATGTCTTTTCTTTTAAATAAACCCAAAAAGATTAAGAGATAATATAATTAATTCACCAACATTACAATTAAGTTAGGACCATTATTATAATTATCATATTTTTATTAATGGAGAAACATGCTCAAAGTTTTTATTTTTTATTTTTATTTTATTTTATTGAGTTGGAGAGGCACCCACACAGCTGAGATTCTCTCTAATCTCTAAGTGCTAATTGGAATGATTAAGCAATGGCCATATTTAATTACTTTACACCTTTTTTTTTTTTTTTTTTTAATTTTATTATTATTATTTTTTTTTAATTTATAACCCTGAACTTCTGGACCTATCAACTTTAGGCCCAATGAGCCATGGCTTAAGTGTTTAATGATTGGGCTCACTCGGCCCAAATCAAAACATGGATTGGTTTGGGCCTTGGCCCATGTTTGTATTTCGTGGATCGACTCAATCCCATCATGGCTTCACAATTGTTATTGAAGTCGACGAAGTTAGAGAGATTAGATTTCATGACTACAAATACATTTTCATTTTTTTTAAAATGGTTGATTTTTTTTAACCATATGAGTAGAAATGCATATTTAAGGTGTGAATACTATGGAAAATACTCATTTAAATGATGAACGTAGAGTGTGGAACAAGTCATTGTTAAGGTACTGAAAATACATACAATGATCAAATTGATTGTGAGTGAACTTATGCTCTATTATGAAGGTGATCAAGCTTCTTATACCGTTGGCAAGAAGATTGTATCAGCCCATACAAAAAATTTCTTCAATCTACATATCAAATATTGTTGTCTAGTTACCCAAAAAACTAAGTGGTTGTGCCATGTATGATATGAATCCAACAACAGATCATTTACATGTACTCGAAGGAGCAATTACAAGAAGTAATGCAAAAAAAATTAAAGTATCAAATTAAGAGAAGAATGGGGTGTCACAATAAATATCACTGGTCAGTGGTGATTTGAAGACTTTTTGTGTTTGGTAGTTAAACTAAACTTTTAAGACTATTTATGTCCTTATTTATTTTCTTTCATTTGTATTTAATAGCTTTTATGGGTAGTTTGTAGTGAATAGTTGAACTACATTATGTTTGAATAATCTTTTTGGTATATTGAAAGACATGTAATATTCAAGTTTAAAATCAAAGTGGAATACAAAAACCTTGTGTTTGAAATCGTGGTGTTATGTTTCTTTCAAACATTACTTTATATTTGATGTTAAAATCTATTGAATTAGTCAGCTAATTTTGGAGTGAGTCATCTTGGAATCTAAGAGTGACCATCATAGATTTCAAGTTCGATCTAAGAGTTATTCATCTTTCTAGCCCACTCTTAATTGGAATCATTCGTTAGCTTTCTTTGTAAAAGTTTGCAAGGATACTAGAAGGATCTCTAGATTTGCAAAATACAACATTGTTGGTGCTTATCAATGAATATTTCTTCTTCCAAATATCCATGTAAGAAAGCAGTTTTTATATCTAAGTTGTGCAAGCTCAAGATTAAATTGAAGAATGAATGCTAACAAAATTCGAATAGATGGAAATAATCACAATTCTTGAAAATACAATTTCCAAGAATAAATAAGCAAGCTTACAAGAAACTTATTTTCGACCATTGATGGTGAGTTTTAGCGCGTCTAGTATGAGGTTAGATATTTTAGGAATAAGTTGCTTACGAATACCCCTCCACCCAACCAAAGTTTTCATTTCAAGAAATCTCAAGCAGTCTTAAGTAGTAAAGTGCTAGTAGACAGAATGTCTTGTAATATCTTCTTGATTGGTGTTAATAAAGAGTGCGAGTGTTTTCATAAAGAGTTGTGTTCAACATCTTTCTCACATATATTCATACCTACAACTTTTAAGGCTAATTAGTTTATGGTTCTTTAATATTTAAAAAAAAAAAAAAAAATACATACATTCATACTAAAAATACAAAATTTGAACCTTTACATAATCAAATAATGTATGTGCACGTTGTTACGATCGCACAACAATGTACACACTCGATTTAGATGAACACAAAGAAATAGGAGAGAGAGAATGCAAGGAGAACTCTGGCTAAAGATTTGTATTGATGAGCATGTATAAGAGAGAATACATAGAATCAGCTCCACCCGATGGGATATATATATAGTTTAGTTTACTATATATAGTTTTACTAGATTTAACCATCTACTATATATAGTTATTTACCCGATATAGCTTTACCGAATATAACCATTGATTGAGCTATAAATAAGCCGCAGACTCCATAACCTAACAATTTTCCACTTGGAGACTGATCCAGTCAACTAAGAATTTCATTCTCAAACGATCATCAGCATCTTCACTGCACTATACCAATTAAGGCTTTGCATAGTCTCAATTTTCCAACATTAACACATTTTGTAAACATGTCTGCCGAATTCTTTGCACCCTCTATCTTCTCCAAACACATATCACCTTCTTCCACTAACCTGCGAGTGAAATGGTATCACCTTCTAATGTGTTTTGTCCTTGAATGATAGACTAGATTTTTCACCAACTGTATGACACTCTAACTATCTGTATAAAGAATCTTCTTGCACTGCTTCCTGCCTAATTTTTTTAGTAGTCTGTCATCCATATCATCTCCTTTCTAGCTTCAGCTATTGGCACGTACTTAGCCTCAATAGATGAAAGAGGGACGCATTTATGAAGCTTGGACATCCAGCTCACTACTATTTCATCTATAGTGGAGATATATCCAGATGTGCTCTTGCTAGAGTCTACATCTCCACTCACCTTGCATAACTACTTTGCCATTGCCATAACGAAGTGAAGTATTGGATGTACCTCTTAGATATCTCAGAAGCCACTTCACAGCTTCCCAATGTTCTTTCCCTAGATTTGCCATGTACTTGCTAACAACTCCCATTGCATGTGTTATATCAGGTCTAGTGCAGACCATAGCATACATCAAACTCCCAACTGCAGAAGCTTACAGAACTGATGTCATGTGCTCACGTTCCTAAACTGTCTTGGGAGATTGCCCCTTTGACAATTTAATACGATTTGTCAAGGGGGGTAGTTCTGGGTTTAGCATCATTCATCTTGAATTTGGACAACATTTTCTCAATGTACTGCTCTTGGGATAGATTTAATGTGCCAGCAGATCTATCTCGAGAAATCCTCATCCCAAGAATCTGTTTCGCTGCACCCAAATCTTTCATCTCAAATACTGAAGACAAGCTTGCCTTCAAGTGGTTTATCTCCCTCATACTTGATCCAGCAATTAATATATCATCCACATACAGGAGTAGAAACACATAAGAATCAATATATTTCTTGATGTAACAACACTGATCCTTTTCACTCATGTGGAAACTACTCTTGCACATGAAAGAGTCAAACTTCTTGTACCATTGTCTCGGTGCTTGTTTCAGTCCATACAAGCTCTTATTGAGCTTACACACCATGTGCTCCTTGCCTGGACTGCAAACCCTCCTGGTTGTTGCATATAGATCTCCTCATCTAGATCTTCATGTAAAAACGCCGTTTTTACATCCATTTTCTCAAGGTGCAAATTCTCCTATGCAACAAGACTCAGTAGAATTCAGATAGTAGTTAATTTCACAACTAGAGAAAAGATCTCAGCATAATCAATGCCTTTTCTTTGTGAATATCCTTTAACTACTAACGGAGCCTTAAACCTCTATCTGCCATCTGGTTCAGCCTTGATTCTGAACACCCATTTGTTCAATAGAGCTCTCTTTCTTGTAGGTAACTCAGTCAGCACCCATGTACCCACGTATTATTCTTTTTAAGTGAGCTCATCTCATCATCCATGACTTGCTCCCACTTGGTTGAATCTTCCACTTGTAGGGTCTCATCAAAAGACTCTAGTTCTCCTTCGTCAGTTAGCAACAGATAATGTAATGAGGGTGAATATCTATCTGGTACTCTGATAGTATTGGATGATCTCCTCAACACCTGCTCAGGTGTAACTTGCTCCATGTCTGGTTCTTCAACAAGAGGATCAAGAGTTTCTTGAGCTTCTATTGTAACATCACTGTGTGAATTTTCCTGCCATTCAAGTTCAACTCCCACTTGCTTTATAGTGTCAGAGTTATCTTCTCTTTATCCTTGTACAGGACATTTTCATCAAATGTCACATCGCAGTGTCTTAGGATTTTCCTATTCATGTCATCCCAAAACCTGTACCCGAACATGTTAGAGCCATAGCCTATGAAGTAGCATTTCATAGCCTTAGCATCAAGCTTATTCTCTTCTCTGGATCAACATGAACATATGCAGTACAACCAAAAGTTCTCAAGTGAGAGTACTTGAATTCTTTTCCTGTCCATACTTCTTCGGGCAATTTGAACTTCAAGGGTACTGACGGCTCTCTATTAATCAAATATGCTGTTGTGTTCACAGCATTAGTCCAGAATGTTTTTGGTAGTCCAGAATGAATCCTCATGCTTCTTATTCGCTCGTTCAATGTTTTGTTCATCATTTCTGCAATACCATTTTGTCTTGCCTTACTGAGAATTGTTCTTATTAATCTAATTCCCTCAGCTGCACAAAATGTTTTAAACTCTGATTTGTTGTACTCTCCTCCATTGTCAGACCTCAAGCATTTGATCTTCAAACCGGTTTGATTTTCAACTTTAGCTTTCCACTTCTTGAAGCTGGCAAACACATCTGACTTATGTTTCAGAAAGTAAACCCATACCTTCCTGTTGCAGTCATCGATGAAGGTGACGTAGAACCTTGATTCACTAAGTGATGAAATTGGATATGGTTCCCAAATGTCTGTATGGACCATTTCCAACGCACTTTCTTCGGTTCTCTGGCAGTTTTTGTGAAGCTAACTCGTTTATGCTTGCTCATAACGCAATTCTCACAAGGACCCACATCAATAGATTTCAGACCTTCTAAAACTCTTTTCACAATCAGCATTTTCATTTCTTTCACGCTCATATGTGTCTATTGTGTCATAGAGACTTGAATTTGAAGCACTCTCAACAACAGCAGCTATGTTCATACACCCTGCAGTGGTGTATAAGGTTCCAGATTTTGTGCTACGTGCTACCACTATAGCACCCTTCATAATCTTCCACGAACTCTTCCCTAACTCTGTTGCATAACCTGTGCCGTCCAACTGACCAATAGAGATTAGGTTCTTCTTGAGACCAGGAATATATCTGACATCCTTTAATGTCCACTGATTTCCTGCTAGAGTTTTTATGCAGACATCCTCTTTTCCTTTAATCTCCAAATCTTTGTTGTCGGCAAGATACTCCTTCTCAAAATTTCCAAACTTGAAATTCCGGAACAACTCTTTATTTGGAGATGAATGAAAAGATGCACATGAATCCAAAATCCAGGATTCATTCAAACTGTCCACGCTAAGAATTAGAGCATCCCCAATGTCTTCTGCTGAATTTATAGAATCATCATCGTCTCCAGATTTGTGATTCTGCTTCCTCTTTGGTCTTGTGCAATCTGTCCGAAGTGACTTTTTTCTCCACAATTCCAACACGTTACATTTGGTATATTTGGAGATTTTTCTCGGTTCTTTGATTTTGATCGCCCTTTGTTTGGGCCCTTTGGTTTACTTTTTTCTCGTTGGTCAACACTGAGAGCACTACCAAATGAATTTCCAATTTCTCGTTTGCGAATACTTTCGCTGAGAACTACATCTCGAATTTCATCAAACTTCAGTTTATCATATCCTCGTGAACTAATGATTGCGGCAAAATCAAAGCTTTAATTTCAGTTGACTTACGATCAAAATCAAAATCACTTACGATCCTCGTGAACTTCAGTTTATCAGATCCTCGTGATTAGTATCCCACGACTCGAGTAAAGATGACATCAAAATCAATGCTTTAATTTCATCCTCGAAATTAATTTTCACCGAACTCAATTGACTTACAATCATATTGAATTCATTTACATGATTAACAACATATCCACTTTCAGACATTTGTAGATTGAACAATCTTCACATCAAATACACCTTATTCATAGCTGACGATTTTTTTGTACATATTCGACAGTGCCTTCAACAGATCTGACGTTGTCTTCTCTAAATAGCGTGAACTGGAATAGCCCTAAGGCTTTTCGATCCTTGAGCTTCCACTACTCCGTGGTCATGATATCCGGCATCACTCCCAACAGGGGTTTGTGAAGATCTTTCTAGTACAAATATCTTCAATCTACATCTTCCAGAAACCGAAATCGGATCCATCGAACTTCTCAATTCTAATCTTTGAACTTTCCATCTTCACAGATCGTGGTGAATTTCGCCTAGCTCTGATATCAGTTGTTAGGATCGCACAACAACGCACACACTCGATCTAGATGAACACAAAGAAATAGGAGAGAGGGAGAATGCAATGAGAACTCTGACTAAAGAATTTGTATTGATGAGTATGTATAAGAGAGATCACAGAGAATAGAAAATACATTTTCAAACTCCACCGAAACGAATATATATATATATAGTTCAATTTATTATATATAGTTTTACTAGATTTAACCTTCTACTCTATCTATATATATATAGCTATTTACCACGCTCTCCATGTAACAGTTGACTGACCTATAAATAAGCAGCAAGTCTATATAACCTAACACACTTATTAGTATCAAAATTTGTATGGTTTGGAGATACCAATAAGCTTAGTGATACAGAGTGGGATCCGATAGCCTGGGCGTTGGGATGAGAACAAGAGGTGTCTTCATCTTCAAAACAATCCCAAATTTCTCCTCAATTTCCAGTTTCTTACCCTCTTCCACCTTCCAATCAAAGGAATGCAAGAGCGTAGCAAGCAAGTACATGAACGTTCTCTCCGCCATGCCTATCCCTGCACAGTTTCTTCTGCCCGACCCGAATGGGAAGTATCGAAAATCACTCCCACCAAAATCCCACGTCTGGTTGTCCAGAAACCTCTCCGGATCGAACACCAATGGATTTTCCCATTGGTTGGGGTCTCGCTGAATGGCCCACACGTTGATGAACACTCGAGAGCCCTTTGGGATTGTGTATTTGGAGATGGTGGTGGTCTCACTTGGGGAGTGTGGCACTAGCAGCGGTAGAATTGGGTGCAAACGCAATGTTTCTTTCATTACGGCCTTTAAATATGGCAAACTATGAATGTGGGACTCCTCCACCATGTTGTCTTCTCCCACCACGGCGGCTACCTCTTCCTGTGCTTTCTTCAGAGTTGCAGGGTTGTTTATCATCTCTGCCAGCGCAAACTCTACGGTGTTTGACGATGTGTCTGTCCCGCCAATCACCATATCCTACCAACACAACCCATTTTCATTTCTCAAATTTCTCACTTCAATTTTCTTATTCACAATCTTATCTTATTTTAAATGTTCAAACTAATAAAAGAGAGATCTTTTATAGCAAAAAAGAAAAAATTGATCATTTAATTTTTCAATTCTGCTGCAGTAGTTGGAGTAAAATAGGCATACATGTCATTAGTATTTAAAAATCACTACCAATCTTACTAATTACATAAAATATGGTCTACATTTTGTCACTGCTACCCATACTACCTATTCTATTGTGGGTTCAAATCTATTAACTTGTTGTTACTAACTCTATTAACTAATCCTCCTAAAGATGCTATTGTATAGGATCTAGATTCATATTAGAGTCATGACTTTAAGTTAACCATATAAATATAATCCTCAAATGTCGAATAAAAAAGTTATGAATCTAGAAGGTGTAGGCAAAAAGTGACTCAAGTGCGAACTCGGGTGTACTTTGTTTTGAGGGCTCTAGAGAAAGAAGTCAAGACTCAATTAAAGGGAGGTTGTTCAAGGGCTCCTCTATAGTATATTTTATTCGAGGAGAGGATGGTTGGGAGGAAATCCAATATTGGCTAATTCAGAGGATGATCATGAGTTTATAAGTAAAAAAATATCTCTCCATTCGAACAAGAGGTTTTGAAGAAACCCAAAACATAGTCACGAGAGCTCATGCTTAGAGTGAAATAGTATCGTATCATTACGATATTAGATTAAAATTAGTTACCATGAGCAAGGCTTTGAGATGGATCATGGTGAGAGGAGTTTTGGAGTCGCCGGCATCTTTCATCTCAAGTAAGAACTGCAAAAAATCATGATTCTGGGCACTCTGGCCGTCCTCCCCACCCACAATTTTGAGTCGTTGATTGATCATGTTCTCGAAAATGGTATCAAATTTGAGAGCAAGCTTGCGCATCTTCTTTTCAATGCCTTGGAGATCGAAACGAGCCAAGCTTGGAAAAAAGTCAGAAACATTAGGCTTACCAAGTAGCTCAGTGAAGTCAGAAACTGTCTCTCTGAACTCAGCTGCAAGGCTATCCCTCTGGTCCCCCTCCATTATCCCACCCCACAACATGCCCGTAACCACATTGAAAACCGTCAAAAAACCTTGCTCGCCCACATTCACCGCCGACCCGGCTCGCCCATACAGGTTAGCAACGGTGTTTCTGACCTCTCTACGGCGGAGATCGTATACGGACTCCAAAGTGGCGTTGCTCAGCATCTTGACCACACAAACTTTTCTCAACATTCGCCACTCGCTTCCATACGGGTTCCAAACTATGTTGGAACCGCCGTACGTGGCGGCTCTCCCAGCCTGAGGAACGTCACGATTGGCGAACGTGACATCGTGGTCTTTCAAAATCTCGCGTGCCACGGAGGGTGAATTGACGATTATACCCACCTTATTACCCAATTGGAGCTTTACAATTGGCCCGTATTTCTGCCCCAAGTCTCTGAAATAGGTGTGAAGTTCCGGGTCCAGAAACGGCAGGTTTCCAAGCAGGGGAACTCCCAGAGGACCTGGTGGTAGAGGCACGCGCCGACGCGTAACTTTAGTATAGAGGAAAATTAGTAGACCGGCGAAGAAGACGGTGAAGAGGAGACGGGATTGGTTATCGGCGGCGTCAATCCACCGCCATGGGAGCAAGAAATTGAGGGAATCTATGAGGGTTTGAAGAGAATTCGAGGTGGTTTCCATGGCGGAGTGGTAAAAGAAGGAGAATTAGGTGAAGTTTTGTAATGTTGGCGAAGGGCGGCAGAGTGTTCGTCACCCTACAAATTAGGTGAAGTCTGATAAGGAATCTTTGGCTCTGCTTTCATCTCCAAGTGGGATCAATTATCTATGAAAACATTACTACTTTTTTTTCTCTTTATTATTTTCATCCAAAAAAAATATATATTTTTTTTTCTATCTTACAAGATCAATCACACCCACAAACCCACAAACGTAAATTAAATAAAAAGACACAATGCAATGATTTACAAGGTTCAGAGATAAGAAATTATCATATTTTAACTCATGAATACGGTAGAAAATACTCATTTTAACCATCCCTATGTCCTATCCTAATTGTTTATTTATTTAATAATAATAGTAGTAGAAGTAATAATAATAGTTAATAATTTTAATAGACACCTAATTGATAATTTTAAAATATGTAGTTAGGCTAGGTTAAATTATGAGAGTTTCTTTTTTCTTGGAAGCACTAATTGATCCGTCTGGAAGTTCAACCCACAGCCATACATTTCTTTATCTATCTTGTCTCTTTCTTTCTCCATTCCGCCATGGAAACCACCTCCGATTCTCTTCGAGCTCTCATAGATTCCCTCAATTTCTTGCTCCCATGGCCGTGGATTGACACCGCCGATTACCAATTCCGCTTCCTCTTCACCATCTTCTTCGCCGGTCTATTAATTTTCCTCTATACTAAAGGTACGCGTCGGCGCGTGCCACTGCCACCAGGTCCTCCGGGAGTTCCCCTGCTCGGAAACCTGCCGTTTCTCGACCCCCAACTTCACACCTACTTAAGAGAATTGGGCCGTAAATACGGGCCGATAGTAAAGATCCAACTCGGTAGAAAGGTGGGTATAGTCGTCAATTCACCCTCTGTGGCACGTGAGATTTTGAAAGATCACGATGTCACGTTCGCCAATCGTGACGTTCCTCAGGCTGGGAGACTCGCCTCGTACGGCAGTTCTGACATTGTTTGGACCCCGTACGGAGCAGAGTGGCGCATGTTGAGAAAAGTTTGCGTGCTGAAGATGCTCAGCAACGCCGCTTTGGAGTTCGAATACGACCTCCGTCGTAGAGAGGTCAGAAACACCGTCGCTAACCTCTACCGGCGAAGCGGGTCCGCGGTGAATGTGGGAGAGCAGAGTTTTTTGACGATTTTCAACGCGGCTACGAGCATGTTGTGGGGTGGGACAGTGGAGGGGGACCAGAGGGATAGCCTTGCAGCTGAGTTCAGAAAGACAGTTTCCGACATGACTGGGCTACAGGGAAGGCCTAATGTCTCTGACTTTTTTCCAAGCTTGGCTCGTTTCGATCTCCAGGGCATTGAAAAGCAGATGCACAAGCTTGCTCACAAATTCGATACCATTTTCGAGAATATGATCAATCAACGATTGAAAATTGCCGGTGGGGAAGACGGCGAGAGTGCCAAGAATAAAGATTTTTTGCAGGTCTTACTTGAGGTGAAAGATGGTGGCGACTCCAAAACTCCTTTCACCATCACCCACCTCAAAGCCTTGCTCATGGTAACTAATTTTAATCCCCTTTTTTTATGTTATATTACTAGAAATTTGAGGAATGGAAATGGGTTGTGTTGGTAGGATATGGCGATTGGGGGGACAGACACATCGGCAAATACCATAGAGTTTGCGCTGGCAGAGCTGGTAAAGAACCCTGCAACTCTGAAGAAAGCACAGGAAGAAGTAGCGGCCGTGGTGGGAGAAGACAACATCGTGGAGGAGTCCCACATTCATAATTTGCCATATTTAAAAGCCGTAATGAAAGAAACTTTGCGTTTGCACCCAATGATACCGCTGCTAGTGCCACACTGCCCAAGTGAGACCACCATCATCTCCAAATACACAATCCCAAAGGGCTCTCGAGTGTTCATCAACGTGTGGGCCATTCAACGAGACCCCAACCACTGTGAAAATCCATTGGTGTTCGATCCGGAGAGGTTTGTGGACAATCAAAAGTGGGATTTCGGTGGGAGTGATTTACGTTACTTCCCATTTGGGTCCGGCAGAAGAAACTGTGTAGGGATAGCCATGGCTGAAAGAATGTTCATGTTCTTGCTTGCTACGCTCTTGCATTCCTTTGATTGGAAGGTGGAAGAGGGTGAGAAACTGGAAGTTGAGGAGAAATTTGGGATTGACGCCTCTTGTTCTCATCCCAACGCCAAGGCTATCTGACTCCACTCTGTATCAGTAAGCTTAAAAAGTTAAATTTGTTAGTGCTTTATCTGCCTAAATACTCATAAGATCTATATACAACTGAAAAACATAATTGCTCACGGCTCAGGGCTCCTCGGTTCAAAGAACTCTTGTTTCTATTTATTGTATTTGTTTCGAAATATTTCAATGGTGAATCATATCCAATATTTGATATAAGAGCGAGGATGCCTAAACAAATATTCTTACCATATAAAGTCATTGAAGGAGATGCGACAACGATAAGGAGCGGAAGGGAGGGGAGAATAACGCTCCAGTACTTGTTATTCACGAAGTATAACTACACAACATGGTTGATAAAGATGTGTGTTAACTTACAGGCACAAGGTGCGTGGGACGCCATTGGGCATGGTGATGACATCGAGTAGCGTAAGGATAGGATGATTCTTGTTGCCATCTACCAAGCAGTCTCGGAGGACATCATTCTCATGTTGGCAGAAAAGAACTCTGCAAAGGCAACATGGAAGATCCTACAAATGATGCATGTGGGTGTGGAACGTATCAGGTCAATGAAGCAAAAGTGAAAACCTTGAAGAGTGAGTTCAATGATATCCACATGATGGATGAGTCTAAAAACCTTGAGAGAAAAGGTAGTGTTAGACCAAAAGATCCTAATTTCACACTATGTTGTGGGCTAGAGATAGAGAAGCTCTACAAAGCTAGACTTTCGGTGTGATCTTAGGGGAACCATACTAAAAACAAAATAGAAAGGGCTTGAAAAAGAGAGAGAGAGTAATGGGCAACCATTTGTCTATATATTGCTTGTGAGCCGCCAAGTACCAGTCTCGCAACCGTACTAGCGCAAAAGGATCGGTCCTTCCCTTGCTAATTGTTGGTGAGTCAATTGAGGACTTTGCCATGAGGTTGATGATGATCGTCAGCGGCATCCATTCGTTAGGTGACAAAGTGGAGAAGATTTTTGTCGTTAAGAAGTTCCTTTGAGTTGTTGCCCCAAGATTTACGCAGATTGTTACCTCCGTCAAGTAGTTTGGCGACCTCAAGAACATATCAGTTGGGGAGGTCGTTGGTCATCGAAGGTTCATGAGGAAAGCTTTTGTGACTACAAAGACAAAGAGGAGGAGAAATACCTCTTACTCACACATGAGAAGTGGCTCGCACAGACGAAAAAGAAAAATGTGGTTGACTTCTTTTTAAGGTACGAGGGGACGTGACAGCCATAACAAGGAAAACAGAAATCGTGAACATGGGCACAAACGTGGCGACAAAGGAGATCGAGACAATACCTCACAAATTCATGCCAATGCCGACCCATAAAAGTATGATCAAGTGTTACTCTTGTAAAAAATATGGGCATTATGCGGCAGAGTCTTGTAACAAGAAGTACGATGAGGAGACAAACCTCATGGTCATGGATGATGAAGAGCCAGCATTAATGTTGGCCGAAAAAATGCCCAACTTATTGATGCTCAATGAAGAGAAGGTTACGGCGAACCCCTCCTTCATATATGGAGAAAACCAAGTGGAGACCAGCATGTGGTACCTAGACAACAGAGCGAGCAACCACATGACCGGAGATGGAGAAATGTTCAAAGAGCTTGATGAGAAGTTCATTGGAAACGTGAAGCTTTGCGATAGATCAATTGTACCGATCCAAGCCAAAAGATCTATCTTGTTCTAGTATAAGAATGACGATTAATATCTATTGACCAAGGTGTATTACGTCGAGTTTGAAGAGTAAAATTATTAGCCTTGGTCAAAGAAGAAGGTAGCAGAGTGGAGATAGTCAGGTCGTTCCTCAAAATATAGACAAAAATGAAACTCTGTTGATGAAAGTTAAATCGTAGCGAAACTACCTGTATAAGATATCATTGAAAGACTTTCAACATCTTACAAAACATCCATTCGGTTTGCAACAAAAAATAAAATAAAATAAAAAAGAAACCAATGAATGGAAAGAAAAAGGGAGAGAAAGGTTCGATCTATAAGTCTGTTTTATCAAACTTATCATTCCAACCAAGGAAGCCCAGAGGAAGGCACTAGGATGTAAGACAAATAAGACTTCAAACTCAACGTCTAAATCAAAAAAAAAAAAAAAATTAGAGGTACATTACAAGAAACGTGTNNNNTTTCAATATTATATATAATACAAATTTATCGTCATTTAATTTTAATATATAATTTTAAAAATTTAAAGAGATTTTTTTTTTTTCTTAAACGGTACTGATTGATCCCACCGGAAGATGAAAGCACAGCCACAGATTCCTCATCTGTCTTATCTCCACCGAGTACGGTGACCAAAACACTGCCGGCCTTCGCCAACATTACAAAACTCCACCCAATTCTCCCTCTTTATCCACTCCGCCATGGAACCCACCTCCAATTCTCTTCAAACCCGCATAGATTCCCTCAATTTCTTGCACCCATGGCGGTGGATTGACGCCGCCGATAACCAATCCCGTTTCCTCTTCACTGTCTTCTTCGCCGGTCTACTAATTTTCCTCTATACTAAAGTTACGCGTCGGCGCGTGCCTCTACCACCAGGTCCTCTGGGAGTTCCCCTGCTTGGAAACCTGCCGTTTCTGGACCCGGAACTTCACANCTATTTCAGAGACTTGGGGCAGAAATACGGGCCAATTGTAAAGCTCCAATTGGGTAATAAGGTGGGTATAATCGTCAATTCACCCTCCGTGGCACGCGAGATTTTGAAAGACAACGATGTCACGTTCGCCAATCGTGACGTTCCTCAGGCTGGGAGAGCCGCCACGTACGGTGGTTCCGACATAGCTTGGACCCCGTATGGAGACGAGTGGCGAATGTTGAGAAAAGTTTGTGTGGTCAAGATGCTGAGCAACGCCACTTTGGAGTCCGTATACGATCTCCGCCGTAGAGAGGTCAGAAACAC